CATCACTCTTCTAAAAGCTATTCATTCACCATGAGGGTGTGAGTGAGAGCAGCCCGACCTAGAGGAATTTGGTCGCGCAGAGACAAATCCTCAAGTCACAGAATATTCAAGGACAGAGCAGGGAGACTGCAGAAGGCAGGAAAAGAGCCTTCATCCCCCTACTGGAGGGCTAGATTCGTTCTGATCTGGATGCTATTTCCTCAGACTCCAGTTCTGCTCAGCTGGGTTGCTTGGGTTTGGCCTTATGTGGACTGGAAACACATTAAAGTTGGAGGGACCCCAAACTAGGGGAACCCCAAATCACAGGGCCAGACCAGAAGTCACTTCTGGAGAAGAGAAACGACCTTCTCCTTGCCCAGGAAAGTTACAGAATCTGTGGTCCTCCATTACCCCATCTGTGAAATGGGCACCTCACTAGTACCACCTTCGAGGGTTATTGTGAAATTTAAACTCATAAAATAAGATACTGTATTTCAACGAATTAGGACACAATTTGGCCTATGTCCTAAAGACTCAGTAAATCTTAAAAAGATTAACTGGCTTCCACCCCCATCATCCCAAGAAAACTACCCTTTCTCAGCACATCCCTTGTTCTCACCCCCGGCCCTCTTTTTTACAAGAGCAGTTGATACTTCTGTTTGAACCCTCTTCTCATCTCTCCCGTGGCTATGACTGCCTGCCTCTGGACCCCTCTTTTCTCTCTGACATCCCCTCTTCTGTCTCCTGTTCCTGACCTGTGCCTTTCCCCTGGGGCCTTGGGCACCTCTGCCAGCCCTTTCCTGGGGACCCCCAGATCCTGTTCTCCTCTCCCCTGAGTAGAACCCCACTGTCCCTGTCCCATAGCCACATATCCTGGCTCCCTGTCACACTTCCCATTTCCATCAGTGGTACCATCCCTCATCCTCCAAGCTCCAAACCCTGAGAACCTCTGTGTCTCTTTCACTCCCACATCCAGGTAAATGTCAGGCCTTTGGAGTCTTCCTTCGACCTCCAGACTCAAAGCAGACCTGCCTCAGCCTGCGGGCAAAGCTCTCCGAGAGCTGTTCTCCAATCCCACCACACTCACCCCATGTCTTGACCATTTGTCAGCAGAGCGCTGGAGTTTAAGAACACAGATTCTTGGGGAGGGAGGTGGGAGGGGGGGTTCAGGATGGGGAACACATGTAAATCCATGGCTGATTCATGTCAATGTATGGCAAAAACCACTACAATATTGTAAAGTAATTAGCCTCCAACTAATAAAAATAAATGGAAAAAAAATAAAGTCCTTTTGCAGAAGTGGAAAAAATAAAAGTTCTACAATTTAAAAAAATAAAATCAGTAAAAAGAGGAAAAAAAAAAAGAACACAAATTCTAGAGTCAGCCTGCTGGGGTCCAGCTCCTGGTATGACCCCTGACTGGCAGTAAGACCAGTGACTGGCAGTAAGACCCTGGGTGAGTCACTTAACCTCACTGGGCCTCAGTCTCCTTACCAATGAGATGTGGGTGGTATTTGTACCTTTTTCAGAAGAGCTTACTAATTGTTGGGAGGATTAAATTAGCTCACATATATCAATTACCTCGAAAGTGTTATAGGAGCCTTTGCTGCTATGATTATGACCCGTCTGTCTCCCACCCTGGCCTGGGAGCAACGTCAGAAGGAGGCTTGGGTCTGACAGCTCAGTGCGTCCATGGCACCCAAGACGGTGCCCGGTATCTGGCTGGCTTAGAAGACAGGGCTCCTGGATTAAAGCCGATGTGTCCCGTGAGGCTGGAAGAGGTGCCCTGGAAGGCGTGGAAAGGGGCCTTGCTTTCCGGCACAAGGCCCACCCTCTCCTGCCCAGCAGGCCTCCTAGATTCTAGCAGATCCCGAGCGGCTGCTGGGTATGAAGGTGTCCCTAGGGCTCAGCAGGCCAGGATGACACACACGGCCGCTCCATTCACACCCCTGTCAGTCACACCACAGTCAGTGTGCTCCTGGCTTTGGAGGAGGGCCCAAGCTGTGTGGCCATCTCGGTGCGGGGGGAAGCCAGTCCAGGACTCAGCATGGGACGGGGGGGATGGGAGCCCACCTGGACTTTCCTCGTGACCCGCACCTCCCCATCACCCCTCACCTCCTCCCATGACTGAAGAGTGAACCCAGGCCTTTAAGCCAGGCTGTCCTCCTGGCTGACCCTGACAAGGCTGGCTTATGAGGCCCCTAGGGGTCCTTTCTCGGGATGCAGGGCTGTGGGGGGTCAGCTGGACCCCCCCCAAACCTCTATGCAGTGGGCTCAGAAATCCCAATTCCTTCTACACCCCTGAGACTTGAGCTGCCACATCCTTCCATCCCCAACCTTGAACGTCCCCCTCCTCTCCTCTCTATCCCAACCATTTTTCCTACAGCCCTGATCCCCAGGAACTGACCCCTCCTCAACCTTCCAACCTCCCCTGAGCCTCCTTTAGACCCTATCGCTTCAACCCCCCCAATTCCCCACCACCCTAGAAGGCCCAGGACTTGGCCAGGCACAGGAGTTTGTTTGACTGAAATGCCTCTTTTTGTTTCCAGCCTCATCTTGCACAGCTATTTAACTATCTAAAATACATGTGTGCAGGGGCTTCCCAGGAGGCCCAGGGGTTAAGACTCCATGAATCCACTGCAGAGGGTGCAGGTTCGATCCCTGGTCAGGGAACTAAGATCCCACATGTCACGCAGGGCGGCCAAAATAATAATACTAAAATAAAATACATGTGTGCACATGTGTGCTCCTTGTGGCCAGGCTATCATCCCCCTGAAAATGGACATGTGGCTGCTGCTGCTGTTCAGTCACTAAGTCATGCCCGACTCTTTTGCAACCCCACGGACTGTAGCCCGCCAGGCTCCTCTGTCCTTGGGAGTTCCCAGGCAAGAATACTGGAGTGTGTTGCCAGTTCCTTCTCCAGGAATCTCCCTGACCCAGGGATCAAACCTGCCTCTTCTGCTTGGCAGGAGGATTCTTTACNCCCGACTCTTTTGCAACCCCACGGACTGTAGCCCGCCAGGCTCCTCTGTCCTTGGGAGTTCCCAGGCAAGAATACTGGAGTGTGTTGCCAGTTCCTTCTCCAGGAATCTCCCTGACCCAGGGATCAAACCTGCCTCTTCTGCTTGGCAGGAGGATTCTTTACCACTGAGCTACCTGGGAAGCTGGAAACGTGGCTACGTTCCCTTGAATGCCACACAACTGCCCAGCACACAGTAGGTGCTCCATGACCACCTGCGGAATAAATTGTGGTGGTTTTGTCCCAGCCAAGAGGAAGGAAAAAGAAGCTGCTTCATCTCCTGGATCAGCAGCCTTAGAGGGAGGGAGAGGGGCGCCTGGAGGCCAACCATCTGCTCACTCCTGTCCCCTCACCCACCGCACATACCCTGTCAGTAGCCACTGGAAACAGAATACTGGGGAACCCATACCAATGCCACCAGTCGGGGTGCCCTGAGGTGTCTGTTCTGACAGCCGAGCGTTCCTGTCGGAGGGGCCAGAAGAGGGGCCAGCTCCCTCAGGGTCACCTGGGCGGCCCTGACCAAGGAGCCCCTACCAGCTCACCCACCAGCTCTAGCAATCACCAGGGAACCAGGCTGGGTTCTTGTGACTAAACACAGACCAATTCCATGTTACAGCTCCATCCCACAAACCCCTCTCCCCCACCCGCTGCACTTACCACAATTTGTAATTATACGTTTCTTTGTGTGATTATTGGATTAATGTCTGCCTCCCCCACTAGCATGTAAACTCCGAGAGGTTGGGTGAAGGGTGAAGACTGTGTGTTCTGTTTTCCTGCTGACTTCCCAGCATCTAACGCAGTGCCTGTCACATGGCAGGGAGTCAACAAACATTTGTGGATGAAATGCTGAATGGTGTTTTATGCATTGTTGTTAGTCTCTAAGTCATGTCTGACTCTTTTGCAACCCCGTAGACTCTAGCTCGCCAGGCTCCCCTGTCTTTGAGAATTCCCAGGCAAGAATACTGGAGTGGGTTGCCATTTCCTTCTCCAGGGAATCTTCCCGACCCAGGGATCAAATCTGTGTCTCCTGCACTGGCAGATGGATACCTTACCGCCGAGCCACCGGGGAAGCATTTTATGCAAGAAAGAAAGAAAGACAGCACTAAGTCGCGTCTGACTCTTGCGATCTCATGAACTCTAGCCTGCCGGGCTCCTCTGCCCATGGGATTCTCCAGGCAAGAATACTGGAGTGGGTTGCCATTTTCTTCTCCATGGGAGCTTCCCGACCCAGGAGTTGAACCCAGGTCTCCAAACCAGAGCCTTATTATACAGCTTGTATCATGTGAGCTTCATAGCAGCCCTACAAGGTAGGTGGATGTTTAAATACCCAATTTACAGATGAGGAAACTGAGGCTCAGACAGGCCAGAGTCTGCCCAGGTTGACAGTGCCTTTTCGTCACAGAGCCAGGATTAGAAAGTAGGTATCTGGCATTCACACTCAGCAATCTGCACTCAAACAGTGAGGACATGTATTATGAGTAGGCTTTGAAGGATCAAAAAAAATCCCACAAGCTCTTTGCACTGCATCCTAACCCCCACTTATGGCAACTTGTCTGGCAGAGCATATCCTAGGATCTTGACTCCCCAGAGACCCTCAGCCAGGAGTTGGGGCTGGTGGGGACCAGGCCACCTCTACTTGCAATTATATCTGCCATCTGGGGCACAGTGAAAAGATCAGCCATTGAGCTCCAGGCCCAGCACCCCAACACCCTGGCTTCCCAGAAATCCCTGGTACCTTCCAGCCCCCACCCCCAGCCTGGGAGGGCTTCCACCAATGGGAACTCAGATTGGGAGGAAAGAGGCGGGGCGTGGGGAGGGAAGGGCTGTGAAGAGATGAAAAGCAGACACTGCCCAGGGAGGCAGAGGGACTCCCAGGCCCATCCTGCACAGGGCCACCAGCATGCAGCTCCAGGAGGTTTGCTCCTACCAATGGACTGGCCCTCATCCACGTGACTGTGCGCCCTGCACCTGGGCTTGGGGAGAGGGACATTTTCTCATCTCACCGATCATAGTCCCCGTTGCAGAGGGCTCTCACGGGAATGGAGAAAGTTTGCCAGACTGGATTTAGGGTGTTCTTCATGACCTCCGTCTTGTGGCAGATGGTGAACCTGGCAGAGGAGAGAAGGAAGGCCATCAGTCCTGACACCAGAGGGGCTGGTGGGCTCATCTCGGCAGTTGCCACACAGTAGAAAGAATGGCTCTGTGCGGTGATGAGCTGCCCATCACTAGCAGCATCCAAGCAGAAGTTAGACAGCCATCTCTCGAAAACGCTGCAGAGAGGATTCCTGCACCAGACAGGAGTGTCAGGAGATGTGGTTCTGGCCCCTGCTGCTCTCTGGGTGACCTTGAACAAGCCTGTCCCCCTCTGGGCCTCTGTTTCCTCACCTGTGATCCCAGGGAGTTGGCCACTATCAGACTTTCTTTATCCAAAACCCATGGAAGGATCTGGGGGTGGGCTTTAGGAACCTGTGAACCCTTGAAATCATCAGTGGAACTGGGTGTCTGAGGTTCATGTGCTTGCTGTCCCCTGCCTGGATGACTCTCATCCAGATTCCCATGTTCCTGGCTCACCTGATCGCTTCCTTCAGGTGTTTGATCAAATGTCATCTCTGTGACATGAGTACCTGCCCAGAGCACCATCATCTAGATTTTATAGCCCCCTGGTCCCCTGATTTTGACAGCTCCTAGTCCCTTTCTATGGAGAAGGCAATGGCACCCCACTCCAGTACTCTTGCCTGGGAAATCCCATGGACAAAGGAACCTGGTAGGCTGCAGTCTATGGGGTCGCTAAGAGTCGGTCACGACTGAGGGACTTCACTTTCACTTTTCACTTTCATGCATTGGAGAAAGAAATGGCATCCCGCTCCAGTATTCTTTTTTTTTTTTTTTTCATTTATTTTTATTAGTTGGAGGCTAATTACTTTACAATATTGTAGTGGGTTTTGTCATACATTGA